CCCCAAAACCCCAAAACCCCAAAACCCCATGAAGTAATAGCTATCAAATTGATTAGCATAGTAAAATAAACAAGCAACTCTATATATATTTTAAAATGAATTCGTCGCAAACTGTAACCAATTACTATAATAAAGCAGAGATTGATTCGATGGTTTAAAGTAAAATATAATCAATAGAGCTTATTTGGTAATTGATTATCACTAAACCATAATAGGATTCTGACTGCAACAATTATGATATTCATGATGAAAATAGGTTTTGCTTTGCTAGAGACTGGATCTGTCAGATAAAAAAATACTTCTAACATTTTGCTTAAAAACTGCGTTGATTTTTTTGTGGGTGTGGTAGTATTTTATGCAGCAGGATATGGTTTAATGCATGAGTAAAAGGGTGGCTTTCTTGGATAAGGCAAATTTATTGGTATAAATTTTAGGAATAAAGATTATATGGAGTTTCTCTTTGACTACTCATTCTGCTCCACAAGCACAACAATTGTAAGTGGATCTATGGCAGAACGTATTTATGTTGATGCCTACATTGTGTTTTCAATCATTATGACTGGGTTCATCTATCCCATTTGTGCAGGATGGGCTTGGGGAGGTGGATGGCTGCAGCAACTTGGATATCATGATTATTCTGGAAGTGGCATAGTACACTTAGTAGGAGGAGTGGCAGGCTTATGTGGTACATTTTTAGTTGGGCCTAGAATAGGTATATTTGATAAAAAACTAGACATAAAAAAGTTAGATGATATTTCTGAAGATCTCAAAGACAAAAATAATGTAAAACAGGATAACCCCCAAAATATTATCGAATATCGGCAGGTTGATTTTCAGAAAAAGCATAAAATAACTTTTATTTAATCAAGAGATCTTCCAATAAGTAAGAGGATATAGATTTTTAAGAGTGAATACGAAGAATTTAAGGGCCTAGATGATAAAAATGTTGAGCATTTTATAAAGCTATACGATTAAAACTTTGAGAAAAAATTCCAATACTATTCAATGTCCTTTATAGTGAGTGGAGGATATCTACTGTGGGTATGCTGGCTATTCTTCAATGGAGTTGCTGGAAAGTCAGTAAACTCACAATCAAACAACAACATCATATAAAAGACAATTATGAACACCATACTTTCTGGATCTATGAGTTCATTAGTTGTGTTTCTACTTCAACCTTACTTTATGAAAAACGTTGAGAAGATTTACAATTACAATCCGGTAAATATAGTCAATGGTCTTCTTGGGGGACTCATTTCTATTACTGCTTCTTGCAATAATGTTGAGAACTATGGAGCACTATTGATTGGAATGATTGGTGGATTTGTTTATATAGCTGCAAGCTATATTTGGAATAGATTATAAATAGATGATCCTCTCCATGCTTCATAACTTCATGGGTTTTGTGGGCTCTGGGGAGTTTTAGCTGTTGGAATATTTGATATGAATAAAGGATTAATCTACACAATGAATCTCGAGTAGTTAGGGATATAATTTCTAGGTGCAGCAAGTCTAATAGGATGGACTGTCCTATTAACATTTCCTTATTTCTATATTTTGAAAAGGTTAAAACGACTCAGAGTCAATGCCATCTATGAGATTATAGGACTTGATGCATTAATGCATGAGGATATTGACAAGTTTGACTATATTTCGGATAAATCAATGAAGATAATAGATCATTAAATATAACGTAAAAGTGATTCTAGCAAGTAACGAAGCGCTAATGCTACAGCACTTCAACATTATAATAGCATAGCATCTTCGAATTCTACTCTTAGATTCGAGGCTAAACAAAGGTAAAATGTAAATATGGAGAGCTTTTGAGTAAAATTAATATTGAACATATGATTATACAAAAGAATTTATTTCTCAATATATTTCTTGTCGGGGTTTTGGGGTTTTGGGG